GGGGCCGAGCGGGCGGAAGGGGCCCCCCCCCCAGCTGCGGGAGGACACCACCGACACCGGCTTTGCGGCAAGCAGCCTCAGAAACGCGGGGCATACAGGGACCCTCGTGGCTAAGGGGCTTTCACAGTCCCTCTCCTCACAAGGGTTTTCCGCTTGCCGAGGAAAGGTCTGCATTTCTGTCCCAGGGAGAGGTAGGAATGATTGCGCTAACGCAAACGAAAAGGGGACTAAAATATCCCACCTGCCGTTACAGCCATTCTTCTTCGACGCAGGGGCGAAGCGGTGTTAAGGACAGACCGGTTCCCTGGAAACGCCACTGGCTGCAAGAAAATTTAAAAAAAAAAAAACAAAAACCAAACTAACAAAAAAAAGGGAAGTGGTCCATCTTAACAGCCCGTTAATGCCGCAACTTGGGTGTGAAGTGAAACCCAAATCCTGCCCCTTGACACCCACTGAAGGGAACAGGGTGCTTGCCTTCCCTCCTGGCCTGAAGGGGTTTCCAAGGAGCGGGCTGCTGGGAATCGCCGGCATGGCGATGCCATCCTGAAGTTCGTTAAACCCAGCTGCTCAACGATCCAGGATTTATGAAGCAGGGACATGGGGCTGACAGTAACTCTGTTGTCCTGCCTACGACTTAACTTGCGCTTAATTGCATTTCATTTCATTAGCTTTCCATTCTCAGGATGTACTTACACAGCTGTCCAGGATTCTCTCGTCTTGCAAGGTAAGCAGCATTTTGTTTAAAAAAAAAAAAAAAAAAAAAAAAAGAGAATCTGTGGCACGGTGAGCCCTGCGCACGGAAGAGGTTTTAGAGCGCTTGCTGCTGAGGTCATCGCCGAAAAGCTGGCAGCTTTCGGTCCATCTGTAACACATCAAACCTGTTAGGATCAGGCCCTTCGCGTTCGCTCCCTTCCTGCGAAAACCCCTCTTAACAACCAGGGGAGGTGCAAGGCAGTCAGCCTGAACTAAGCGTAACCCTGATCAGTTTGGCAAAACCCAACATGAAATTAGATCTTCAGCTGTCGCGCGCATGCGAAGACACACGGGACGATAAACCTCCCAGCTCCTATAACGCAGCAGTTTATAAAAATATGAAGCTTCAGAGTTCAGGACCTAACAAAGCAAGGTGGGAGTCAAACATTATCAGCAGAGTCGTAACAACAAAGCTGCTTCTTCAAAAAAAGAACACAAAGAGCATAAATGTAAAATAATCCAGTTTTTAACTGGAAGAGCACACGTTTGACAGTGCAATCTGCACTTATACCAGAAGCCTCCAAAATCTCACTGTTTTACATCTAAATCAAGTCCTGTTAACACCAGGGGATGAGCTGGCATTATCTGCCTTTCACAGAGGGAAGAAAACATGACTGAGGCACTCGCTTAAAGAAACTCAGCCGGTAACGCAACGCGGAACTCAACCCAGACTCACCGGCTGCCCCAAGCCTCACCACTCACTAGGGAACCGAGGGCAGAGGCTGCTGTCAGCCCAAAAAGTACCTGGCACCGAGTGTTAAAAAAAAAAACAACAACTTTTTTTTTTTTTAAAATAAAAACACGCTTTTTTTTTTTTGACTTTGCATAGAAAAAAAAAAACCAAAAACACTCGGTTATTTCAACAGCCCTCGTTTCCACCAGCCAGAGGAGTGGCATTTATAACTCAAAGACAAGGTTCACTCCAGTTTATTATCAGCCTGACAAGTTACCCCTTTGGTCGTGGCAGCAGGCAAATGCTTTTGTTTTTAAGTCTCTCCAAGCACCACAGTGGTAATTGCTGCCTCGGTAGATGGGAGCAGGCGAGGGGAGGCCATATTAACTGCGATCCACTGGATCCAGCCAGGGAGAACCCCTCCGAGAATCCGGCCATGGTTTGACTGAAATGTGTGAAACAAAGGATTAAATTCGAGGGATTATTTCATCCCCGACGCGATGTATTAAAAGGGTGTTGTGCGATGGCACAGTCGGACAACGAGCAAGCTTTCACCCTTCCGAGAACTGTGTTTCCTAACCCAAATTTCACTTTCAATATAAAACTGCGCTGTTCCTCCCCACTTTGTTCCTACCGGGGGTCAGTGAGAAACCAGCCCGGCAGGGAGCTGGGGCTGCTGCTGTCGAAAAACGTTCAAACGCCGTCTGACGAGGGGTTTGCTACGGAAGTGTCTCACCCCCACCCCCCCAGCCCCCCAGGTGAGGCCGGAGCCAAGGCGCCGCTTGCGAGCAGAACCACGACTGAAAACCCGCGGAGCCCGAGGAGGGGAGGGCCGG